AGCAATGGCAGGATATTCCTGAAGGACAAAGGAAACAGAGTACTTTGTGTCCCAGACATCTTAGTCAGTAAATGACGCGTGTGAGAAATTATCATCTCACATGCACATTCCCTACTCACTTACCTAGGCCCATCTAAGACACTGATCTATCTTAGAGATAACGTCTGGTGGAAAGAAATGATGGCAGACATACAGGCTTTCTGTGACTTGTGCGGCACTTGCCAAGTCTCCAAATCCTCTAACCATCAACCCTATGGATTGCTAGAGACCCTTGATGTACCCTCATGCCCCTGGGAGACAGTAGGAATCGACTTTGTTGGACCACTGCCCAAGTCACACACCCTAAACAGTTCATTTGATATGATCTTGGTTGTGATAGATCACTTGACCTCAATGGTTCATCTAGCCCCCACCAAGCAGACCTACCGTGCCAAAGACATCGCTGAAGTTATGTTTAACTTAGTCTACAAGTTACATGGGATGCCCTCTAACCTTGTTAGCGACTGCGATACCCTCTTTACAAGTACATTTTGGAAATGACTATATCAATTAATGGGTGTTGAACTAAGGATGTCAACATCATTTCACCCACAGTCTGACGGCTCGACCAAATGAGCAAATCGAACCATGACCCAGATGCTGCGACAAGTGGTCTCTGTTGATCAGCGTGACTGGGTGATCAAACTCCCAGCCATTGAGTTCGCAATAAACTCAGCTAGTTCAGTCTCACGAAAGTACTCTCCATTCGTACTAATCTATGGGTGACAGCCCCCGTCAATCTGGAACGCTCAATCTGAGTACCCTGGTGTCTGTATATTTGCTCAATGAATGAAGGACGCGTTGATGAGTGCCCATGACACCCTCATCACAGCCCGTGTCAAGAATACTACAGTTGCTAATCGTAAGCGCAAAGAGTCACCCTTTGTAAAGGGCGATCTCATCTACTTGTCCACCAAAAACCTGTCATTACCAAAGGGCAGAGCCCGAAAACTTGCACCGAAGTTTATTGGCCTGTTCAAAATCCTTGAGGACTACCACAATAACTCTTACCTGCTAGACCTCCCCGCAAACCTCAAGCAACGAGGGCTTCACCCTGCGTTCCACGCTCATTTACTGAGGATCTATATACCAAACGATGATCGACGGTTCCCTGGGAGACAACTCGACCAAATTGCCAACTTGGGAAGCCTCAAAGAATGGTCTGTCACCCGAGTTACTGATCACAATGGCCAAGGAACCGACTCATTGTTTGAAGTTGAGTATATGACCGGAGATAAAGTCTGGCTCCCGTACCACAAAGTATCACGATTGGAAGCCGTTGAGCAGTATCTTGAAGCATTAGGTGTGCCCAATATAACGCACTTACCTCAAAAGATCTCTAAGGCAACCCCGGACACTAGTGTCACCTCTGTCACTACCGTCAATACAGCCGACGATGCTAGACGTTGTGTCAAGCGAATTGTCGCTCAAATGCTCTCTGATTTGCCAGTTAAGATGTCCCCCAAAGACCCCGAGCCTAATCACATAAGAGAGACACCCACTCGAGTCAATGGACACTCCAAACCTCCCATGTCTCAAGCAGTCCCTACCCATTCTCTCCCTGAGCTGATGAACATTGACGTTATCGCTCATCCTCTCTTGCATGAACCAGGCGAGATTCCAGCCTCAGATCCACGCACCCCTCATCCTAGATCCTCTTGTTCGAGCAGGAGGAATCACCGCTCAAGAGGGTGAGGTGGAAAAGGATATAGGCCCTCCCATAGAGAACCTAACACTGAAGCGCTCAATGCCTTCACCCAGTTCTTCAGAACTGAGGCAAAAGCTAGTGAGAAATTTACAACCCCTCTCCGAGTCCGCGGTCTAAAGACTAGCACTCTCTTAGAGGAACTAGCGATCAAAAAAGAGACTCACATGTTCGAGCAACAACTTCGAGCTGAGCGTGAATGCTCCTATGCTTCCCGACCCCAGGGTAACGCCTAGTAGTAACCTCTCCATCAACAACCATCGCCAGAACTGCGACCTTCAATACAAGTGGTCCCGCCCTTCCTCCTCAAGCTCTGCGCCCCATGCAAACTCTCACAAACCCTTAACAGCTGCTCAAGTTATCTCTGCTGCGACTGCCAAGGCCGAGAGTCTGAAGAGTACACCTACTCCTGCTTCCTCTACCCCTCATGAAGTGGATCCTGGTGCAGATGTTGATGATATTATTGCAGCAGTTGAGCTATTGGACCTAGAACGTGATGCCCGGATCAAGAGCCTATCTAACGCTCAATTCTTGGGTAGAGTTGCTGTCCTCAGCCTCACCTTGTCCCATTTACTCATTCTCATTGTCCTATTAGCCGTGTTTGGTTCTGCCATGACTGATGTCACCTTAACTCAATAAGAACTCCTAAACTCCCGCATGACATTGCAGCCCCTCCTAATGGATGGACTGGAGGGCGTATGTGACGTTCGTTAAAAGACTTAGGCTCCTAATGCCTAGATGGTTACCAATTAATATATCAATCAACTCTGATATATTCTCTCCTTTTACCTTACCCTGTTTATTCCCTCTTTGTTTCTTTTATTCCTACTTTCCCTGATCCTCTCTAACCTATATAAACTAGCATACTTAGTGCAGGATTGGGAGTTGATCCTTCCCCCCAAAAATAAAGCTTAGTTCAGCCCGTTTACTTCTGTTTGAACCCTAAGTTCTCTCAAGTCAACTCAATTCTCGTGTGTACATTCTTAGAACACCACAATGCACCTCCTGAGAGTGGGACATCACCGTGGGACCAAATTCTCGAGACCAGCTTGCAATGCATCAGCAATACTCTGAGTAGCATTGGCAGGCTCCTGTAAGAATCAATAAGACAATGTCAATATTGGTAAGTAAAAAGAAAACAAGGAAGGAAAATGACGCACCTGAAGGCATTTGGCACCTTGAAGACCACTACAGTGCATCCCAAGCACAACCCATTAATCTCTTCACCTGGGGAATCGACTTGGAACAAAGTACACACGTGATGTGACACGAAAGTCACTGAGCGTGAAAGGAATCTAACCCCCACAACATCACAAATTCTAGGACTAGGTAGTGTTCGCGTTCAGCATTCGGACATGTTTGAACACGTTCAAAAAGGTTTGGAGAAAGCTGAATGTAGAACCGAACTATGGGTTCAGTTCAGCCCATACCCCGAACCTTGAACCGGACTTCAGTTTGGTTCAGGAAAAGTCCGGTTCAAACCGCAGTTCAGGACCAAACCTTTCCATCACTACGTTGAATGGGAATGGAAGGTTATGGCATTGTGCACCATGATTGTGCTTCACCCTATAGAACAACCTTGAACTGCACGGATCCGAATTCTGCAGCGAGGGCACCGAGAAGCCCGTTTGCATGTCAGCACTCAGGCTATGTCTGTCATAACAATATAAAAAACTGCTTTCCAGATGCCGTTGAATGGGAATGGAAGGTGATGGCATTGTGCACCATGATTGAATTTGACATCCCAGATCGATTCCTGATTGAAGGTGTTTGTACTTGCCCTCATGAGCCTTGAAGATATTATTGAAACATTGTTACAACATCTTCTGGAAGAAGAGAACCACTGTAGGGAGTATCCCTACTGCTAGGCTTGTATCCACCACTTTTCTGATGCATCAGGCATCCATCCGACGTCCATCCGACACCAATCCATTCCATCTGATACCCATCCGCTTTTTGGATGACAAGCGGATACCTTTGGATCTCCCCCTATAGCTTGTGCATCCATCCTGTCCATGTCCATTCTACCTCATTGGTATGTACTCACACACATTTCCTTGTTACTGACTGAACACAGACATATCCTCTCACACTCCACTATTTTCCGGATAGCTTATGGCACAGTCTAGACTCACTACCTATACCAAGTGTTCCTTGAAAATACTGTACCCTATAAGCAAAGAAGTTTTCGAAAAATACTTACTTGATGTAACTTCCTCCCACTTTTCCTGCACCCTACCAGAAGATCGCTTTTGACTTATACCCACTATCCATCCAACCTTTAATGAACTTCCTTTGACTTTGATTCGCATCCCATCCGATCCGCAAGTATCATCCACTCCATCCGACGAATCTGTACATTTCACATCCTATCCATTTCATCCGCTTTTGTGGATCCTTCATCCTATAGGGTCGCTTTAGACAGAGACTAGTGTTTCCCCAGTAGCAATCCCCTTAAGGGTCAAATGTGCTTGTTTCCAAGCGAGGCAGCAGGCAGCAAAGACCCAACTGTGTAGTAGATCAAGTTCTCACTACTGCACTTGTTGTACCCACACCGCTCTCACACATGGAATGTGGTTCATGTTTCATAATGTTAGGTATTTAGTTGAGCCCATCGTCCCTGTTCAGTGCCACATATGAAGGATGTCATGTTGCGATTAGAATCTTAGGCTCCGACTCAAGCCCATCCCTTTCAGAATTCCAGGAATTCAGAAATTCAACTGAGGTTACAGCTCTTTGCATAAAGGATGGCACTGGCGTGAATTTTCATTCAATTAGGAAATGTTAGACTTAGTAAAATTTTGCTCGTGTACAGCTCATACTACTACCCTTATATTATCTTCTTCACAACATGGGATTTCGCAAGATCAGTCGTGATGTGAAACTTGTGGCAATCCGGCTCCATGAACGGAACCTTCTAACACAGCGTAAAGCCACAGAATACAGATGCAGGGTAATGAGAGAAAAGTCCGAGACTTCCCAATACTATTCTGAGATTACCCTCAAAACTCTACCAGTAGAAAATGTATCGGTATTTACAGAATTTGACATCACTTTCCTCAAAATACACCAGTGCATTTCTCTGAGATTGTTCCTTAGATTACTTCGAAGCCAACATATGCCATCCCGTGCTTCTAAATTCACAAAATAGAAATTGATACATGTGTGCTGCGGTGACATCGAGCAAGACAAAGTACAGCAGTGAAAATGAGTGCAGAACATTGACAACTACCCCATCCTCCTCACTGTGCACACAATGGACCTCCCTTACCAAGAGCCAGGACAGATCCTAGATGCCTTAGGTGAAAGCATGGTGATGCAGGTGGGATTCAGCATACCTCCCATGAACTATGGCCATCCAGGACTAGTGCCACAGGGAGGGCCAGGATCAACATCAGCACTTCCAGACTCAAAGGCAGGAGACACTGGCAAATTGTCGAAGACTATGGTTCTCTTGCTGATCAAAGGGCTCAACCGGCATGTTGCAGAGCTGGAGAATTTAGATGGAGTACATCAGCAGCAGGTAGCACATATGATAGCTCACCAGAGTCACTGCTGCGAGGCTGGCAATCAACAGATGTGCGAGCACTTCGAGAAACACCTCAGGGACTTGGACGGGTCTGTCCTGCACCATATTGCAGTGGTCATGAAAAGCTTCGAGAGACCGCCAGCAATGAGAGACGTAGATGGTGCCAATGAAGAAAGCTCAGATGACAGTGAAGGGGAGGTGGATCGTGTTGGGGCAAGTCTCGAGGCATACTCTGATAGAGCATTACTGGTGAGCATTGAGTTTGGAAAATGAACACTCACTCACCTTATCTTCAGGCAGTTGTGCGGCACGAGTTTGCACACTACATGTGTCATGGGGATCCTGAACCTTCAGGTTAAGCACCTACCCGTGAGCTGGCCAAAGGATGATGAAGCGTGGCCAACCGACAGTGTGACTAGCACAAAATCAGTCCGTTTTTGGTGGGGAGAGAGTCATACGCACTCAGATAACCATGAAGGTCTCTGCAAGATCTGGACCTACATCCGTGAGAAAGGTGCCCTCTTCAGTCTGTCTGCTGAAAAGGCCTTGAAGGTAATCAGCGAAGAGCATCTCCGTGAGCGAGTGATCGAGAAGTACCACAGCTTTTGCGATAACTTGGTGCGTCTGATACTTAAATCTGTTGCTGTGTCTGGAGCACTGTTGACAATAGCACTGTGATCGTCGTTCATCAGGCATCAGTGTTGTCGTTGTCGTTATCAGTGTGGATGGAGAGAAAGTTGGACTTAGTGATTTTCAATACTTGCATGATATCTTATCAATTGCGATGTGTTTCTGCATGTGGGCTAGTATCAAGATTCCTCTGTGTGGCAATTGAAGGGAATTTGTCAATTCTGTAAAATACTACATGAGGTATTCCTGTGTTGGCGTATTTTCGGAAAGTTCACGGGAAGTATCAAAATCTCCAACATTTCCCTTTGGCTGGAGTCCGCGATTTTACGCTGTGTAAGCCTTTGTGATATCCTAGATTGCTGCAGATTTTCCAGACACACTTGGTTTCAGATTTTGAAGCTCTGGCATGAAACCGGCAATGTCGTGGACTGTCAGCCTAACACAGCAATGCGTGGTCGTCTGCATGCTCTCGATCATGAAGATATTGATTGCCTGCTGCGCCTTGTAAGGCAGAATCCTGACTATTTTTTGGATGAGCTCATGCACCTCCTCACGACAAACCAATTCATATCTGTCTATTTCACGACAATCTTCCGTGAGCTCGAACGTGCTGATGTGAGCTACTGTTAAGGTCGTGCTCAAGGGAAAGACTACTCAAAGGGCTTCAGCTTCAGCTTGTGCGCTGCGCCCCTTACCCGAGTATGTGCCCTTAATTTCCGAATGGAGTAGATCTGGAATTCCGGATCCGGAGGTATGAGATATGACAGCTACAAGAAACTCAAGTGCATTGCCAAGGAACGCAATGAGACTCTCTGTGCTGCGTTCATTGCACGCATGGCTCAGTATGATCCATCAGAGTTGGGATTTATTGATGAGACATCAAAGGATGAGCGGACACCTGGTAGACGCTATGGACCATCAAGGACAGGCACCCGTGCAGAGAAAAAGCAGGTGTTTGTGCGTCGACGGCGGACATCCACAGAAGCCCTCCTCACACTGGATGGCATTGTTGCTGCAACCGTTGTCAAAGGCTCTATCATCAGTAAATTCACACATTGCTTATTTCAACTTATTTGGCACTTATCCCTACTTTTGTCACTTATCAATAATGGGATCTACTTATTTTTCTTCAACTAGCCACCTGGACCCACCACCCTCAACTAGAGTACACCAAAATATTTGTTAGACTATAGAAGCTCATTGTCATATCCCATACCTCCAGATCTGGAATTCTGGATCTACTTCATTAAAGTCTGGTCCTCCGTCTTACTATTCCGCCTGGCACTCCGCCTTCATCTCTGCACTCACCCCTATCTCCTTTTAGATTAGCTATTGCTCCGGTTACTGGTTATGTCTTTTTCCGCTATGCTTACTGATCTGTTCCATTCTTACTTCATTTCCGACTTCACTGCTTTGATCTGTTACACTTAGTAATAGACTTTCCACATGCTTTGCACATAGCCCTTACCTTTGCTGACTGATTTACTTACATGATACCTACAGTATATAAACCCTTGTAATACTCTGGAACTCCTCAGTTCAAATATCATCTTAGTTCTGCTCATTCCTGCAATCTCCGGACTTGAGTCTCACCTCTTGTCCACCTCTGAGTCTTAGGGGTTAAACCTTAGGACTACTTCTCCGGCTCTACCTTAGGGTAGTCTAACCTCTGTTCTGTTTCTACTCCAGACTTCCATAGTAGCCTTACTCCATCCCTACATAGTCTTCTGGAGTTCCTCCAAACTCCACCGACTTCTGTCCTCCGGAATTCCCCGGACTTTCATCGGACTTCCCCTCTAGCCTTGCTCCATTCCCACATAAGTCTTCCAAAGTTCTGCTGAACTCCACCAATGTTTGTCCTCCAGAACTCCCCAGACTTCCATCGGACTTCCCCTCTGTCCCCCGGAAATTAAGGGCACGTACTCAGGTAAGGAGCGCAGCGCACAAGCTGAAGCCGAAGCCCTTTGAGTAACCTCTCCCTTGAGCACGACCTTAACACTCATTTGACAATATCAAAACAACCACATTGGTTGTTTTAGTCAAGTAAAAATGCCAAAACAGTAGCAAGAAGATTTTGACTTAAATGCTTTCCCTAGGCAGCTACACTTGAGAAGACTATATTCTATCATTATCAAACATGTATTTGATAGGTTATTAGCAATTTGAAACACTCAAGTGGAGGGTGGTGGGGTGGGGTGGCTAGTTCAAGAAAAATAAGTAGATCCCATTATTGATAAGTGACAAAAGTAGTGACAAGTGCCAAATAAGTTGAAATAAGCAATGTGTGAATTTACTGATGATGACTCAGGAGTTGTTCCTAGAGTGGCTTGAGAACATTGTCGTAAGTCTCGCCGTGAATAGTTGTCATCAAGACTACTATCTAGCCACTACAGGTGATGGGATCATGTTTGATATGTATGAGGTTCTGGAGATCACTGCAGATGATGCACATGGGTATCTTATTCATGCAGGGTACTTCTAGGTCCATGTAGTAGGGATCATTAGTCACAGATTTTAGTTCCACGCTTTCACTTTTTGGACATGGTCAGAGGTGGTGTAAGGATCTTCATGGGCTGGGACTGCTCAAGCTCATCATCTTTGCCGTCATCATCAGAGTCAGGTTCCTCTTCCTCCAAAAGTTCTTTCATTCGAATATCGTCCTCATCGGACCCATTGGAATCAAGGTCACTGTCATGCTCTAGCAGGCTCTTGTGTTTTTTGGAGGCAGGAATAGTTATAAACAGCATGATGATAATGAATTACAGGGGATGTGAGTGTACAATCACTGTGGAAATGACAAAATAACCTGATAGGGTTGACATAGAAGTAGTGGCAATAAATATACTATAACCAGAGAATGGCAAATGTGTGAATCCCCACTGGTTAAAGTGGAGAATGGTGACCATTTGAGAGCAAATCCCGAGGTGGGTTAGGCAATGTGGGCTTGTGTTGGATAGCTGCCCCCGCATCTAACCCAACATACAAATCACATCTGAAATATTAGGTCTGCTGTCTGTTAGGGCAAGCAAGGCTGCTTTGCTTCTGAATGATAGGCAAAAAGAAGTCTGATTAATGTAGGGTTACAGTCGCGTCTTCTATGGTACTTCCTAGGGATCCGCGCTCCCCATCGTGGGCCACCCCAGGTAATGAATCCCTTCCCTCCTTCCCCTCCTTCTAGTGCCCAATGTTTGTTAATAATCAACATAGCTCTCAGTGTCGCCCTAGTGGTGCTGTCATGATTCCAGGTGAAAATACTGGGGGCTATGATCAGGATAGCGGTCAACAGCAAATCACAGAAGCTTACCACAGACCAGCACCTTGCCCATTGCCACTATTCCCTGGTAACCACATGCTGCCACAGGTCGACGAGTTTTTTTTCGGGCGGTTTACAACAGGATTTAGGCCAACAAACACCAGCACCACTGATGGGAAGCCCTCAACATGATACACCATACCATGGCCATAACTCACTCACCCCATTCACAGGCAGCAACCCATCGTCGCGGTCACAATCACAGGCTCTGAGTGGATCTCATGAAGGGGGCTACCAGCATATCTACTCATTTCGTCAGCCTCAACAAGTAGCACCACTGCAAATGGATCCTTACCAGCACGTTCCAAATACCCTTGAAGATCAAGTCCAGGATCTCAATGCGACCGTTGCACGCCTTGTATCTGAAGTTGCAAGACTGACAGAGTCGAATGAACACTTGTCAAACATCAGTCAACGAATCTGCCTTGATAATGCACAGATGTCAGTTGTTCATGAGAAGCTGACTGGTACACATGAAGCTCTCACCTTGTGTGTTGATGAACACGATGACGCTCTTGCAGTGTGATGAAGGGAGTGTCGATCGCTGGAGATAGGGCCACGAGGATACACCCCAAAATAGCCAGTAAGGCATTACACGCTGCTCATGGAAGGTGGAACTGGAGATGTAACCATGAGACCAGTGCCTATATCGTGATCAGATGAGGGGGGGTATCTGTGAGGTCCCTGTTGCGTGTTGAGTTGAAACCTTCTTCTGGCAGAAATGGATCAGGGTCGTCCTCGTTTGGATCCATGGATGGCATCATGTTATTGTCTTCATCATCTTGATCATCAAATATTCCATTGACATCGATGTCTAGGTCATCGAGACCATCCTCGTGTTGTTGTAGAACTTGACTGTCTTCATTTCGGATCGCTTTGATGGCTTTTTTGATCTCGTGATCTAATGCATGCTGTTCTGGGTCATGCGGGAGGTGATGGGCTTTGTATGAGGTGAGGGAATGTGAGCTTGAACTGCTAGCTGTGTTATATGCGCTAAAGTGATCAACAGCGTCATTCAGGGCTATGGAAGTTGGGCCCGAGATTGGGCAGATTGGAACCATGGGTCATGAGGTCCACATCTTCTCCGGTTAGGAAACCATAGTCTAACATCTCCTGTTCAACTGGGGATTCCAAAATATGATGTGGGTCATGAAATTGAACATCGGAAGATAACAGGGGCTGCAGGTCATGCAAGGGAACAGAGTATCCACAAGGAACTGGGCCAGCTTCTTGTGCAGCGCTCGGCACGAACCGTTCACCAACCCACTTAAATTGGGCCTGCGATGCAGCAGTTTTTTTTCTCACAGGTCACGCCGTTCATGAGCGCATGCGGTGTGCTCAGGTATGAGGACTCCATTACATCTGTAAGCCTGGCAGGTACACCTTTTTTGCCACATTTTTTGACGGAGGGTCCTGCTGGTCAGCTGTGTCAAGGGTAAAAGCGCTTACAGATGATATGTTAAAGCTAAGGCCAGCTGGCGATGCGGCCCAAGCGCTTGCGACTCAGCGTCAAATCAGATATCACGTGTGACGTTGCCTTGTACTTGAGACTCATTGAGGGACTTAGTGAGAATTTACTTAAAAACCATCTCACCATAGACTCCAGGGTTGGGTTATGCAAATATTGTATTTCCAGACGTCGGTTTGGGGTCGAAGTACGAGGCTGTGTGCAGGGAATGTGTTGGCCTAAGAGCCTAGAAAACCAATGTCCGTTTATAGTTTGCTTACAATTGTTAGGGACTAAACCGACGTCTGGTTAACTTCAGCTTAAGTCTTTTGGTAGCTCTGTGGAGCTCAAAAATCGTCCAAGTCGGATTTTAGTCTGGTTCAAGCACTAGGTACGCCCTACGTCGGGTTATACATCAAAGCTGTCTCGGGTTATGGGTGGGGCTAAATTGTCATTTCCGCAGTGAATGAGCAAAATTTCACTAAGTCTAACATTTCCTAATTGAACAAAAATTTCACACCAGCAGGCCCCAGTGTCATTTTGATGCAAGAATTCGTTGCAGTTGTAGGGATGCAGTGATGCATCGAGCGCTGCAGTGAATTTTCTGTTGCAGTGATGCATTAGTGACACATCAGTAATGCACTCTGATGCATCAGTAATGCACTCTGATGCACTAGCATCAGCAATGCATCAAACCGAAAATCGGGAATCGTCCCACGGTCATACATGAATCAACAATACCGCCAGGTACTGGTCCACATCCTGCCACCAGCTGCTCGCTGTTATACACTGTGCACGAATCCCTCTTGCATCACGAATCATCCCGCCGCTGACTACTCGCCGCTATGTGGTGCGCACGAATCCCTCTTACAGCCCTGCAGCTGTACACACCTGCCCGCTGTACTACCCTGCGCATATATCCCTCTTGCAGCCCCACTTGCCACTACACCTTTGCCAATATACCCTTTCTCGACTTCACCTTCGTATGCGAGCCAGACATCTCTGTGTATGGTCGCTCTCAGGTGTGGATCCACACTCCTTGGAAACCTTTGGATGGGCTTGGGTGGGCTAGAGACACCCAGTGGCCCATATCCATATCAATTGCAAATTCAGAATCAAAATGAGCGTCGAGGCACTTTGAAGTTTCCCTGGCGCACCAACTGGATCCAACATATGTGATTTATGTACTAGTTTGCAGCCTCGAACTTCAGGGATCACTTGTAGTATGTTTGCCACGTATCTCATAGTTCGACATAGTATTCTACCTCCAGTGAATCTTGCAAGCACTCCATATACTTGGGGATTAAATGACAACACAACTATATCCATCGATCACCCACACAGAGACTATATGTACTACTTAGCGACAAATATTACTATGAACGAGAATGAAATGATTAAGTAGAGAAGCAAATTTTTGATCATGACATGAAGACATAGGCTCATGCCTTCGTTCGCTTTTTCCTGTGTCCGTTAGCATTGAGCAAGTGAGGAAGATATCGAAGACGTACTTTGCAGAAATCACACCCTCCACGGTTGAGTTAGCGGGACGCTTCATTGCCCTAGCATCCTCTGAAACAGATTGAGTTTCCTTACCAATGCTAACAAATGTCAGACCATCTGACCCAATGGCGTCGGCAATATCATTCCACTTGGATTTGATTGGAATTCATTTTGAGGCACGTTGAGCTACAGGATTGCCTTCATCCACAGCGGTGTGCGATGTCTCCGTTAATTTGGCAACAGGTCTTGCTTTGGGTTTGGGTTTGGGTTTGGCAGTGTTCATGGGTGCGATGATGGGGGTGGACTCCATGGCGGGATTGTGTTTGACTTTGGTAGCAGGCTTTGACTTGAATTTGCGCTTTGACTTAGCAAGACCAGCACCAGCGTGAGTGTCAGCAAGATCCTGTATGTATGCCCTCGGTCGGAGAAGGAGGATTTGCTGCTGGAAGAATGGGCAGCTGTTGAGTGAACTGAGGAAGGGTGTCATCCTGCTCAGTTGGTGAAGGAGGATTTGCCGCTGGAAGAATGGGCAACTGTTGAGTGAACTGAGGAAGGGCATCATCCTGCTCAGTCGTGGCAGTGCTGCGCTCGGCAGATATTGGAGAGCTCAAGAAGGAGGACAGGCTACGCATCTCCCACCCCTGTGAATCAGAATTGGCACCATTCCACGTGTGCGTGTCATATTGTGTGTCAAATGAGGGCGCTGATGAGCTGAATGCGGGGGAAAATAAGTTCTGCGTGGTGTTGTCACTACCAAAATAACCCAGTGCCATAAGATCAGCATGGGAAAAAGACAACCCAAGCGCCTCGACGGTACTAGGCACACTGGATTGCAGCATGCTAAACGAATTGGGAGGCACGGTGGCAATGTTGTCCCATGCGTGTTCGAGCGATGCATCAGGCTGGGCCTGTTTGAATGATGCATCAGGCTGGGCCTGTTTGAACGGTGCATCAGGCTGGGCCTGTATGAATGATGCATCACATTGTGCCTGTGTCTGCAAAGTGTTAGATTAAATAGGGAGAATAATGAAAAGTACTTACCTCAGAGTAGAGTGCGGATTGATTAAGTTCACCGAGTGGTGATGCATCACTGATTCCGGTCGAGGAACTTGCGAAGCCTGTTATTGATGCATCAGTTTGCATCAGGTGGCTGTGAAATGATATAAAGACCTACCTAGATTATCCCAGTCAATGGAATCACCACGTTGTCCTTTGTCGTTCTCTTCACCATCCTTGGATTCTTTGCCACTGTTGCATCCTTCGAGCTCCTCAGTCTGATCGCCTGTCTTCGACATCTGGCAGCAGCGGGTTATGCTTGTTCGGAGCTGATGGTTGAGTCTTATGGTGAGGCTATAGTGATTTGGACAACAAGGATTAGCTTACGGAATATCAACTCAGCGTATTCCTGGTATGCGGCAAGGAAAGTGTTGTCCTTGTCAGGGCATAACTGAGAAAAGTCGTTCCCAGCAGGAGTTTCTGATGGATGGCACCTTAGTAAGGTGAGCTTGGTAGTCAGATTTATGGTTTGGTGCACTTACGATAAAGTTACGATATTCCAATTCTGCCTCGGGTCCGGTCCAGCGCACATGAAGGAGACTATAAATCGAGTCTTTTTCTTGATGAGGCGTGCAAAGCACTGGCATATGATTGGTAAATCGTCGATACCTCTATAGGCCGTGTAAGTAACATCATAATCATAATCATTAACTAGTACTTACTTCACAATGGCATCAGCGTCGGTTTCGTCGTCATCGTCATCGTCGTCATCGTCATCATCAGCTTTATCGTGTAGCATGTCCTTCTTTACCTTTTTCTGCTTATTGTACTTCTCTCTCACCTCCTTCTTCACCTCGTCTGACTCATCTTCCAGGAGCTCTTTGCAAAACTTTTGGCCCAATGCCATGCGGCGACCAGCTGTAGCTACGTTACCTGCCTCTTGTTGAGCCGCTACTAGAGGTTTGATCCGTTCATCGTAGACCATATCCATGTAGATTTCTTCGACAGATTTTGCGCGCGACTTCGGCAGCAGTGCACTTTCAAATACGGAGATTTCCTTCTTGAGGCCACAATTTTTCTTGGATGTGTTTGTCCGCCAATGGAACCAGGTCTGCAATCGCTACCAGGGTTTTGGTTAGCAGTCAAAAGTTGTCAAAACATTCGACAACTCACTACTTTACGCGTTTTTTCGGCAGCAAGTTCTTCAGCTTGTTGCTCTTCTGTTAGTGGTATTTCAATGGGGATATCGGGGAAGAGGGCGGCTCACTCAGGCCAACTTTTAAACCAATAAAGATGAGTCTTGGCCCAGAAGTGCGCGTAGTCCTTGTCCTCGCCGTGTAGTGCAATATACTCCGGCAACTGTTCATGGAGCCATTTGTATTGTTCCTTAGTAGTCCACTGAGCTGCTGGCATCTGTCATAGGATTTTAAGTCATATACCATGTTAAGAGTGTCGCTATCATACCTTTGTTTTTCTTTGCGCAATGATAGACAAGTGTGTCCCTCTACCAATGTCTATGCCCGTCCTTATATCATTCCACTGGCATCTGATCAGGGCTCGTTGAAAATCAATATCGGCGAATGAAAAAGGAGGCTAATTTAGCTGGCAATGACTTACTACAGGATCCGATTGCAGGACAGTCAAAACAAAAACGGTGGTACCGGTACCAGTCTGTTCTGGCGCCAGTCGGTGTCTCTGGGTGGATCAGGTAATGAGGGTACCAAACTGAGTTTAGCTAGCAAAGACTTACTACTGGGTCCAATCACAGGAAAATCAAAATGCAAATGGTGGTGTCGGTGCCAGTTTGTGTGTCTAGGGCCAGTCTGTGTGTCTGGTGGATCGGGCAATCGTTCATTACAAACTGAATCAAAGTGAAGTGCGATAAGGAGCGAGTTGAGCGAGTTGATGAACATTGATCTGGTTTGATCAAGGTGAGCTCGGATGATGACATGCATGAAAGAGTGACTTCACCTGTGCGCGACATGTTGATCAGGGCATACACTGAAAGGAAATGCATTCTGACTGGCTCTAAGCGAAGTGAAATAAGGAGCATGACACTGACCTTGTTCGATAAAAGTGAGCTCAGATGGATAGTGTGCACAGAAGAGTGGCTTTACCTTTACCTTTTGTTGACTGGGGTGTACACTGAAAGGAAATGGTCATCCAAAGAAGGAATGCGGAACGATGGTACTTACTGCCAACCAATACCAGAAAAGAGTGTTAAATCCCGCAGGTGATCTTGGTTGCGGGTGAGCTTATAGTACACTTACATAGAGCATCACAAATAAGTACAGAATCTTGCATCGGGCAAGAGACTCACTTGGATATTGAACATCGGAATTCAGCGTTTGCATGAGCCACTACTTTGCGATAAGTACATTTGTCATATTGGCCAGCTACTAGAGACTCACCTGGACGACATCAGAAGTTGGCAGATGCTGGTACCAATCCAACACAGTGCGCAAAATCATGAGTGAGGCAGCAGTAGTTATAGAGTTATTGAGTGATCAGTATAGTAGTTCCAACATGTGCACAGTTGAAGTGATTGAAGTGATTGACTTGGAGCCTAAAGCGGCAGTGGAATCGCCGAGTTACAAGTTCAACATATGAGCTAAGACTCAGCTTGTGCTTTACTCAAATCTAGCTATTACCCAGACCACCGCGCAAGTTAGAACCCCCGCAGACATACTCTGAGTATCTATCAAGCATTGAGTTGTAAATCTCCCAAAGTTAACATTGTGGCTAGCGGTGTTATTACAACTTAGTAAGTTACTCCATGCATTGCATCTGATGCCAACTGGAACATCTTTGCTTTCAGCCCAAACGACCAAGACTGGAACATGGGCACCCAAGACACCTGGTCCGGCAGTCAGTTTCTTGGCTCTGCGACTCCCAGAAATCAAAATATGTAACTGGTTTAGTTGGTACGTTTAAATCCCAGCCGCCATTTTTGGCCTCTAATCTGAACCTCGGTACTGTATCCGCCAATAGATCAAGCTGTAAAATCAATATACAAAATATGGAATCCTCAGGACGTCCCTTTTGTTTTTTGACATCATCTCATCCGGCTGTGGCTACCCCTCCACCAACTCCATTCTTGCATCTCTTCCCAGCATTTCACTCCACAGGCGTAATACTTGACTTTCCTCTCCCATATCTCCAATGATACAGCCACCTCCCATGCCCGCCCCATACATCAATCTATGTGATCAACACAATCCTCAGGACGTCCCTTTCATTTTTCTGACATCATCTCATCCGGCTGTGGCTGCCCCTCCACCAACTCCATTCTTGTATCTCTTCCCAGCATTTCACTCCACTGGCATAATACTCAACTTTCCTCTCCCATATCTCCAATGATACAGCCATCTCCCATGCCCGCCCCATACATCAATCTATATGCGATCAACACAATCCTCAGGACGTCCCTTTCGTTTTTCTGACATCATCTCATCTGGCTGTAGCTGCCCTTCCACCAACTCCATTCTTGCATCTCTTCCCAGCATTTCACTCCACCAGCGTAATACTCAACTTTCCTCTCCCATATCTCCAATGATACAGCCATCTCCCATGCCCGCCCCATACATCAATCTATGTGATCAACAGACATTTTTGTTATTCACTGTGCGTACTGTAATCTTATCACTAAGACTACTCCTGACATCATTGTCTTGCATTAACCATAATGATGCATCGGTGATGCATCCGGTGACCCGCATCTGCGATCTCCGCACTGGAAATCAAATTTCTCAATGAGTGCATCATATCACTGTTTCAAGTCTAATCAAGTTTACTAGACGCTGCTACGTTATTCAGGGTGAGTGGTCCGCCATATCATTAATGGCGGTTCATAAGGCTAACTCAAAAATCACTGCAAATACCAGTCTCCCTTGCATTGACCACCACTAATATGACATTGATGTCAATGCTCGTGACCCAGGGTGAGTAGTTCACTTTATGAATGGAAGGTGCTTCCCAGGCTCATCCAAAAACTACAGCGCATTTGAGTCCCACTCCCAGGATATCTCTCAATGAACGATCCGCTGATCCTCTTTGGATCAGTATTACTACGACACCCTACATGACCGAACCAGAGGAGTCCGTGACTGTGCACGAGGGCAGTATAGAGTTTGAGGAGGCCGCGAATGCTATGGCGGACGAGTGCTTTTTATATTTATATGAAGGAATTTTCTATAACATGCCTGCCCAGCACAATCTAAAACCCCCTTTTTATTGTGTTACTCGGGGCCGCTACATCGGTGTTTTTCTGGCATATCTCCGGTGAGTTTTCACGTTCTCATTAATATTTTTTATACTTAACACCTACCATAGGAATAGTGTAAAAATCGAACTCTGGACACCAGGCAATTATGTTGCTACCGTCTTTGTGGTTCAGTCACTTGTTCTGGGAGAACAGGAGGTTCATTGTGCCATCAGACGTAGGCTCACAGCGAGCAGGTGACACACTAGTAGGTTTGATACTATACTTCGTTTGGTAGCATTTGCTGACATCTCGTTAGGATTAGAGTTATGGTTATGCGGGTGTTGCTCAGTCTACAGTTTGGACTAGTTAGTTATGGGATGATGTCATACTACGAGAATGCCAAGTACTAGTCATTTTGAGAACAATGCATTGACATGTTCGGGCAATAACCCTAACCCTAAATGTGCAACACTACGGTTTGGTCAATTGTGCTGTCGTGTTGGTAATCAACATTGCAACATTCAACGACGAATGTCTACAGATCCTCCTTGTGCCAGGGAATCTTCAATTCAGACTATTGTATGCACTCCGGCAACATCCGCAACACTGAAGAAGTTACAGAAACGAAAGAAGAAACCCAAGCTCAATTTTTACCGCTCAGCCACCTTGGTGCCACCTTCTCGCCAGCATACCCAATATGATGTTCATAAAGATGGGACCATTGGCTATACACTGAAGCATCTTCGACCTCCCAAGAACGCTAAAGCAACCATCAAGAATCTAACTCATACTGCACCGACTCTGCACGATGTGCCGTTTTCAATTCCTGAGCCATTCGATGATCTCCCGCCCGAAGTATCATTGGACTTTTTAGGTGAGGAAAGCAGAAACCGAGGAGCGGGTGTATGTACACTACATTATTCTTTGACTTTTTCCTTACCATGCTTACCGTGATTATTTAGGATAATCCTTTGCTGATGTGGTTGAAGCACCGAGGAATATTCCTTCGTGAATTCATCCGTCTCGAAGGGAGATGTGGCCAAGCCAGCGCTCAGTCTTGCTTGGAATGTAATCGTCCCAGCCCGGAGTACCGGTGTGAAGACTGCTTAGGGTCAGAGCTTTATTGCACAACTTGCATCTTGTCGGCCCATGTGCGCCACCCACTTCACCGATTGCAGGTACGTTTTCATATTTGATTGGGAGAGTTGGACATGAAACTAATATAAGATATCGATGCAGAGGTGGAACGGTCAATACTTCGAGCAAACCTCACTGAAAACCCTGGGCCTTCACATCCAGCTTGGCCACACCACTGGCCAGAAATGTCTTAATCCTCAGCATGCATTTAACGACGATTTTGTCGTTGTCGACACCCGCAGTATCCATGAAGTGGCCCTTGACTTCTGCAATTGTGCAACAGCCGAAAGCCACATGCAGCAGCTGCTTAGAATATCCTGGTTTCCTTCAACAACATCAGATCCAAAAACGGCTGCAACGTTCTCTGTTCTTGAGCAATACCACTTACTCTCTTTTGAGTCAAAAATATCTACATATGAGTTTTATCACGCGCTCAGGCAGATGTCCGATAACACTGGCCTACTTCCTGTCAAGGTAAATTCATATTTTCAAGTACCTTTGCAGTTACTCCAGCTGCCCTACAGGATCAATATGAGTCGTTTTTGCGAATGATACGTGAGTGGTGCCACTTGAAGATGCTTAAGTGTTCGGGGCGAGGTCACGAGGCTAGTGGTATAGATGGGACAGCTGAGGGTGAATGTGCCATATTGTGCCCAGCATGCCCACACCCAGGGAAGAACCTTCCAGTGGATTGGAAAGATGCCCCTCGACAGTAAGTTTAGAGCGAGCTTCAGTCCAGAGTAGAATGATTGCTGATATAGGTACTGTTAGGTGGTTATACGGATTATTCCTCGCGATTGATGTGAATTTACGGTTAAAACGCAAGGCTGTCTCAAATGACAATGTTGACCCAAGCCTGAGTCGTGGCTGGGGTTATTTCGTGGAGGAAGATGCTTATAAAGGCTTCTTGCATGACAGTGCGGACAGCATCCAAGAGGTTAGTTAGTTTTATTTATTCTATTTGTATACTCACATCTATCTTTTGCAGAAATCAACGTGTTCAAGTCACGCTGCTGTAAACATGGCTGATACAAAATCTAACTGCGGACTCGCCGTTACTGGTTTAGGTACA